TAGTCTCAATAAAATCTTAAATTTATTAATGGTTTTCTTTTCAATTTTGAGATAAACAAAAAGGTCATCTGCCTTTATTTTAGAAATAGTTATGAAGTAATTTGCTGGTAAAATTAAGCCAATTTTATCATATAATTATGAGGATAGCTTGTTAACATCCGTAATGTTATTTAGTTCAAAAGGGAATAAATTACTAATTGGACCTGTTTAATATTAGAGATAAATCTTATATTCTTCAATTAATTCAACATTAATCATTTAGTTCTTAAGATCAAAATTTTTGAATTACAATTTTAATTTTAATTCTAGCATCTGAATAAATCTAAGTATATTTTTGATTAAATGTACTGTTGCATTTCTCCTTCAAAATTACATAACCAATTCTTAAGTATCTTTTTTAAGTTAAAAAAATATAGAAAATAGAAAATTAATTTTCCATCTTGCATTAGTGTATTTTCAACAGAGCTATAACATAAAGAATAATATATTTATATTTTATTTATAAGTTTCAACTGCATTCAATTGAATTTTCATTACAAGAAGGGCAATAATATTTTTATTTCTTCTAGTCTTTTAAAACATTCTCTGCACACTTATAATTACATAAGTTATTTGGACATTTCAGTACATTTTTGTTTGGAATATCTTAAAAAATTTTTTCCAATTATTTAAAAAGTATTTCCATTTATTAATTTTCAATAATTTCAAACAAATTTCTATTAGAAATACTTAAATCTTTATTTTTCTTGCATAGGCATTTAAGTAATTTAGGTCCACCTTTTAGCTACAATTCAAGCGATGCTTGAACTATTAATTAATATTCCTGGAGATTATCTTAAATATATTTATGATTTATGATGCATCTCTAATGTATCTAATTATTATTCACTTCTTTTTCATTTTTTTTGTAATTCTAATATTCTTACTTTGGAACCATGGAATGAGGCTCATCAACATCTCCTAAACATTATTTTGTTTATTTTAATTAATTTTGGATAGAATTATCATTATATATTTTTTATGTAGCATAGAGCTTTTCCTAATCTTGTTTAAATAAGGATTCAGTTTTTGTAATTGACTGATTTAGTTGTGTTATTATTTCAAATATTTTATGCTATTTTAAACATGGATCCTCCATCAATATTTTTATTTATTTCCTTAATTATTCAAAAAAATCTGTAAAACTTTTTATCATGTTTTAGTAAATAGGTTCATTAAGATCAGAATAGGATTTCTAAGAATCAATTTTCACTTTTTTTTGATTTTATGAATCTTACACTTATTAATGCCCTTCCTGAGGTTGCTTTGAGAATATTTAGCCTTATTATGATTAATTCATTTATTTATTTATATATATTATTATATTAAAATTATAAAAAATGAATTAAAAATAAAATATAATATGCATTTTATAGATAGTAAATGCGATTATTTTTTTCATCTATATGATTGTATAAAATCTTTTATATTAAAATATCCTATTTTCCTAAAAATCTTGGGAGATCTTATATTTTATTTAATTAATAAATATCACGAAATTTAATATTATATATTAATTAATAAATGTTTATTTAATTGAGAGGAGGAGGATGTACAAATTCTCAACAACAAACACCAGATTTTCCCAATGATGATAATTCTATAAATGAGAAACTCAATGATGATAATTCTATAAGTAAGAAATCACCACCTAAAACTGACTTATAAACGCTTATCAAGGAAAATACTAAAAAGATTGTTTAGAATGCTGTAACAGTTATTGATTAAAAGGACAATCTTATGAATAGCTTTTAATTTTTTTTTGTTAATTAAAGGTAAATATGGGAGTTAGCAAGAAATCAAAAACAATCAAGCGAAAGTGTTGATTTAATATTAAAATGTTTAACTAAACTTTTAAAAGCTCTTAAAAGTTTTTTATATTCTAATATTTAATATGCACTTTATGTTTCATAAATTATTTCTAGCCTTATTTGGGTTGTTTTTATGTTCTATTAAACAAATTAAGACAAATTTCTTGATATAACAATATAATAATAATACTAAAATGAGATTGATCAGATATATGAAAGATTTGAATAAGAAAAGGAGGCATTAAAATATTAGAATAATATAGAATATGAGCTTTTTATAATTCGGGCAATAATATATGTAACTCCAACAAATTCACCAGAAGGAAGAGAGATTTTTTTTAAATTCATCGGAGGTTCGTTTAAGGCTATCCTTAAATTCAAACTAAATGATGATTTAATTGAAAGTTTAAAAAAGGGAATTGTATTTTTATATCAATAAGGAGTTATATATTCCAGAATAAAAAAACTCAAAATAATATACTCTTTACTAAGTATAAAGTTTAAAGCTATGAAAAAGTTGGACGAAAATAAATGGGGATATAAGGAAATTATTGAATTGCTAGGTAAAATGTACAGCAATGTTATAAAAGAATCTAGCGATTGGGAAATTTGGTACTGCTGGATTTAAACTATTTCATCTTTATTTCAGTTTAAGCCAATACTTTAAAAGTTGAACTTAGAAAATTCACTATTAGAAAAAGTTTAGATGAGAGATTATACAATAAAAGCTCTTGGAGATTAACATATATTATCATTAAGATATGCAAATATACAAAATGATAAGATCTCTAAGGCTTTAATCGATAGTTCTACAACCCTTCAAGAATAAGCCTAACTTTAGATTTTAATTTTATAAGGCTATGGATAATTATAAAATTATGAATAACAATATTTTATTAAATTCTAAGCTTTAGAAGATTAAAAATCAAATAATGAACCTTAATTACCAATTACTTTATCATAAATTTCATAATTATTAACTTAAGTAGAATCTCTATAATCGATATTTAATGAATTTACTGCTATTATCAAAACATAAGATTAATAAAAATTAAATAAAGATTAACAAAAATTAAAGTTAGCTGAAAAATTAATGAAAGAATCATAGATGAAGATAATTCAATTCTTATCAGAAATAAAAGGTTTGGAAACCTTGGAAAAATTAGTATAAAACTCAAATTAACAAATAGAAGAAAAAGGTAATTACAATATATTTTATGAATAATACTATTAAATTCTACAAGAGAATTGTCAAATTTATCTGAATGGATTAATTAATAAAGAATATTAAAATAACGGATTTCAAGATATCTTTTAAAATGATTAATATTTTTCCCTTTTTGATTAGTTAATTAAAGTTTCTTAAAATGTTTAATAGTTTTCAGAAACTTATAAATAATTTAAAAATAATTATCAGGATGAAACGATTATTAATAATTTAATAAATTTAATGAAAAATTTGATTTTCTAAGATGAAAATTCAATTATTCGAAAATTTAATCCATTAAATGGTCTTCTTAAAGCAATAAATTTAATTCAATTATGGAAATCTATTTTAAAGTGGAATTTATAAATATGCATAGCCTTATAAATACGTTTGAGATTATTAGTTTAAGAAAAATATTTTGACGAGGATCTTCTAAAATTTTCTAATTTATAAATTTCCTACAAATCAGTAAATTAATCAATTCAATTTTTATATAATCAGTTCTCATTATGTGAGTAGGAGAAAGTGCTTTCAAATGAGAAATTGAATTCAACAAGTTCTCTAGATAAGATTTTAAAAGCATTATTGATAGATAATTTTGATGCTAAAAATACTACATTGCAAATACTAAGAAAATAGCTACTATTAAATAGTTTTGAAGTGAACAAGGTCAAATTCAATTTAGAAATTACTAAGATGTTAAAGGAAGAATTGGATTAAACGATAAATTATATCAATTAAGTATAAAGTGCTGTAAAAATGATTTCTGAATTCCTTGCACGTGAAATGGAAGTTAACAATGAAGTGACTGATGAGATTAAAAATTTTGGCGATTTAGAATAAATTAAGGAAATGCAAAAAATCTTTTTGGAAAATCAAGCAAATAAGAAACTTAATTATAACTTTTCAAACTATTTTGAAAAATTTAAATCTATTTTGGTAAAATTTGAAGAAAGCATCAAGGAAAATGATTCAGAATTTTATAAATAATTAAAACAAAAACATGAATTTTTAGATTAATTAATAATGTCTTTTAAAGAACTTTCTGAATTAAACTTTTCTGAACAAAACGTCTAAAATAAAAAAGACTAAGAATTACAAAAGCAATTAGCAGAGAAAATTAAAAAAGATATTGAAGATGAATTAAAAAATTTAATTAATTAAGAAATCCCTTAGTCTATTATTAATGTTGAAGTTAACAACAATTTTTAAAAAGAAAAAGATTTTTGCAAAGATATTAGCGATGAATTAGGAGAATTAAAATAAAAACAAGAAGAATAATTAAAAAAAGTTATAGAAATTGAAGAAAAATTATTTTATTAAATTCAAATTATAGTAACTTTAAATAAGCTAATAGAATATAAAAGTAGTTATAATACTATTCTTAATGAGAGTGAACAATAAATCAAAGATACTTTGAAATGTTTACAGTAAGGATAAGAAAATATTAATTTAGATAAAAAATATTGCAATATTTTAAGAATAATTAAAGAGTTAATATAATTATAAAGGCATTATTATTGGAACCATTATCTACATATGATTTCTATATATAATTTTTAGAACATTATTTTAAAAGATAAATCAATAAATTAAGAGAAACTGGAGAATAAATTGATTTTGATTCTATTGGAAATGAATTATGGGAATTTGCCCATAAATTGGCTAATGAAATGACATTTAATGGTTTGAGTTAAGTTCCTTTCTAACCAAGTGGATTAGTTTTTAAAAAGGAGAAAAAGGAATGGGAAGATGATTTTTTTAATGATGATTGTCCAGAAGGTGTATACAAAAGATTATTTAGAAAATGCATACCTATTAGATAAAAAAGCGGAATCTATTCATTTAATCATAAATCTTTGTAAGAATTTTTAGTAGCTAAATGGTTTATTGAATAATTAATCAAATTAGATTTATAAATTTAGGAATCATCGATTATCATTGATTAAGTTAAAGAAAAATAATTAATTAAATAGAATTTCTTTTAAAAATCTTGGAATTTCGATTATATGTAAGGCCCTATCAGATTTATTGTAAATAAAATATAATTTAATGAAGAATTAAAGTAAAAATTAATGAATTTAGTATTGTGTTCTAAATTTAGTAATGACTATATTGTTGGAAGTTCAAATAGTCTTTATTTATTAAACCTTTTAGATTATTAATTTATAGAAAAAGATTTCTCATAGATTAAAATTTAATAAGTAAATTTAATTAATGCTAACTTTTTCGGTTGTAATTTTAATGGATCTTAATTTAATCAAGTAAAATTATCAGGAGTAAATTTAAATAATGCAATATCTAAAATTAAAAAGATATAAGAAAAAAGAGAAAAAGAATAAATTAAACATAAAAAGGATATTGAATCCTAATTACATTTTGTTTTAGTTTAAATAGAGAGCAAAGAAAAAAGTTTGAATTACTTTGAAAATTGTTATGATAAAATTAAAGAAGGGATAATGGAATAACTGTTTTTTAATAAATGGAGAGTAAGATAAGTGATTATATATGAATTATAATAAATGAAGCAGTTTTGTTTATCATAAGAATCAATGGACATTAGTACTGGGCTTTTAATAAAATTTTAAGTTTTTGAAACAGATAAAAAGATAAAATAATTATTTGATAATCATCAAGGCTAAGAATTTTAATAAATATTATTTTAATATTGGCCAAGTTAGGAGTAAATGATATAAAATACAATAAAAGAGAAATTGAAAGAATTAAATGATATTGCTTAAAAATTGAAAAAAGAATCATCTAGTCTAATGAAAGGAAAATATCAAAAAGAATATAGTAGATTAGAGAAGGAAATTTAAGGAATTTTAGAGAATGTATAAAATATCGAAAATTAATTAGGAATAACAATTTTATTCTTTTAAGATTTAAAATAAGATCTATTAAGAATAGAAAATTAAATTTAATTGATTTAAGAAGCTATGGAAAGTATTAATAAAGATTTAAAATTTTTAAAAGGAAGATCAGTAGAGGAACTTTTCGAAATGAGAATGAAACGAGTTCTCCAACAAAGATTGATATATAATTCAGAAAATGTTTATATATAAATTTAAACAAAAGAGAAATAATATAAGGATGATAAAGAAGATGGAGAAACAGAATTATTTACAGAAGATTTATTTGGTAATGGAGAAATTAATGAATTTATTTGGAAAGAAAAAAAAGATTCTTTTTTAATTCATGGATAGGCAGGATCAGGTAAGAGTACAGCTGCTAGAAAGATAGAGGAGTTTTTATGGCTTATTTATTAGAAGAATAAGATTT